TTTGAAGTGGAAGCAGAGGCTATATCAAGTGTAATATGATCTAACAAAAGATTTCTATACTGGTTAAGGCAGAGAGTTTCTCTATTTTTCCAATTCAAGAGGATAGTTTTCTTAGAGATACATATGGCAGTCAGAACCAAGTGAACCAAAGATGTTTCAATCGGGACATCGTCGAGGTTTCCCAGTAAACAAAGAGAGGGGGTGGTTGGGATATGACATTTCAGAGACTTTGACAGGTCTTCACATACTCTACCCCAAAATTCCTGGACAGGTGGACAGGACCACAGTGCATGAATGTAATTGTCAGGAATGTTGTTTGTGCAGTGTGTACAGGTGTCAGAAGACACAAACCCCATCCTGAACATCCAATGACCTGTATAGTGTACTCTGTGTAGAATTTTGTACTGAATTGATTGTAAATTGGAGTGTCTGATCATTTTAAAAGTTTTTAAACAAGTTTGGGACCAGAAGTTCTGGTCAAAGCTGACTGATAGATCCACCTCCCATTTTTCAACAGGGAGTGCTATTCTATCGTCTGTTTTGGACAGTGTCTTATATACTTTAGACAGTAGTTTGGGGGGTGTGAGATTATAGAAGTCTAATACCCTTGGTGGTGTTTGTAATTCTATTTTATTGAGCTTAAATTTTTGTTTGACTACAGATTTAATTTGGTGGTATTCTAAAAAGCTATTCTTATGTATTCCAAATTGGGAGACTATTCTATTAAATGGGATGAAGTCCAATCCTTCATATATGTGTTCCAGGTATAGGGTTCCTTTATTTTTCCAGCCCGAAAGTTCATCATTTTATTCTTTTGCAAAATATCAGGATTATTCCAGATAGGTGTGCGTCTGCATGGTACTAGGGAAGACTCTGTCATTTTAAGATACTCCCACCATGCTGTCAGAGAGGTGCTGATACATATACTTTTGAAGCTTTCATGTTTTCTTATGCTTGAGCTAATAAATGGAAAGTCTGAAAGCTCTATCATATTGCAAAGTGTCTGCTCTATGTCTAACCAAGACTCATCTAGTGGGTTATCTTGCAACCATCTTGGTATATATTGCAGCCTGTTGGCTAAGAAATAATAATAAAAGTTGGGTAGATCCAGTCCTCCTCTGTCTTTGGTCTTCTGAAGTGTTTTCAAGCTAATTCGTGAAGGTTTATCCTGCCAAAGGAATTTGGTAATTGAGGAGTCCAGAGATCTAAACCAGTCAGCTGGTGGCTTGTTTGGGATCATTGAAAATAAGTAATTTATTCTGGGTAAGACCATCATTTTAATTGTTGTAACTCTCCCCATGAGTGATATCGGTAAGGATTTCCATCTTGCAAGATCATCTTCCAGTTTCTTTAAAAGTGGGATGTAGTTTAGTTTGGTTAGATCTGCTAACTTGGGAAAGACATTAATTCCCAGGTATGTGATATTCCCTGACTCCAATTGTGTATTAAGTAAATTGACAAAAGAAAAATTAATTGGTAGAACTGTAGATTTTAACCAGTTTGTAGAGTAATCTGAAACTTTTGAAAAAGAGTTTATCAGTTCTATTGAATGGGAGAGAGATGATTGAGAATTCCGGAGAAAGAGTAAAACATCATCTGCATAAAGACTGATCTTATGTTCTATTTTCTTACACTTCATCCCTTTAATACCTGTTGTTTGCCTAATTGCTGCTGCTAGTGGTTCAATAAAGATAGCTAACAGTGAGGGGGAGAGTGGGCATCCCTGCCTGGTCCCCCTCTGAAGACACAAGCTATCTGATATTTGGTCGTTCGTCCTGACACGTGCTGTTGGTGAACTGTATAATGTTTGTAGCATGTTTATGAAGAAGTTCCCAAACCCAAATTTTTGTAAAGTTGCAAATAAGAACTTCCAGTTAACTTTATCAAAAGGCTTTTCTGCATCTAGAGATAATATACTAGTTTCTATGTTTCTACTGTAAGAGAAATCTATCAAATTAAGTAGTCTACGTAAATTAGTGGATGACTGTCTACCCTTGATGAAACCAGTTTGGTCAGGGTGTATTATGAAGGGGGTTACCTTTTCTAATCTTTTTGCCAGGGCTTTACAAATTATTTTGAGATCAACATTAATAAGGGAAATTGGGCGATAGCTGGTAGGAAATGCAAGGTCTTTGCCTGGTTTTAACAAGAGACTAAGATTAGCTGAATTCATGTTTGGCTGTAATCTGCCACTCTCTTCGATTTCCCTCACCATTCTGAAAAATGTTGGAGCCAGAATGATCCAGAATTCTTTGTAGAACTCTGCTGGAAACCCATCTGGACCTCGAGCTTTCCTATTAGGCATGGATTTGAGGGCTTTTTAGAGCTCAGCTGATGTTAGTAGCGAGTCCAGGACTGTAACTTGGCTGTCTGATAATTTAGGAAGTGTTATCCTGTCAAGGAATTCATTGATCTCGTTATCTGATGGGTTTATCTATGGTGAGTACAAAGTTTGGTAAAAGTCTCTGAAAGTGTTGTTTATGCTTTCAGGGTCATAAACTATATTCCTGGTTGAGTCTTTAACAGCAGATATGGTAGTTTTCTCTTTATTAATTTTTACCTGGTTAGCCAAAAATTTACCTGATTTATTACTATGTTCAAAATTTTCTATTTGTAGTCTTTGTGCTAAAAATTGTGTCTTTTTGTCAATGATTCCATGAAGTTCTAATTTAGCTTTATGTAATTTGCTCATTAACTCTTCTTCTGTGGATGTCTCTAAAGACTTAATGATTTCCTCTAACTCCTGAATATGTTTGTTTTCAGTTTTTTTCTTATGTGATGAAAAAAAGATTATTTTACCTCTCATAACTGCCTTTCCTGCCTCCCAGAGAACAGATGCTGATGTTCCAGGCAGGTCATTATGTTCTAAATATAAAGCCCACTCCTTTTTAAAAAAATCTATAAAACCTTCATCTTTAAGCAGTGGTGTATTAAACCTCCAGTTTTTGCTTGGTGGGATTGTCTTCTTATTTACCAGAGTTAAAGAAACCGGAGCATGGTCGCTGACAACTATGGAGTGTATCTCAGTGTCTGAAATGTCAGCCAACAATGAGCTGCTGACTAGAAAATAACCCAAACGTGAATGAGAGTGATGGACGTGCAAAAAAGTATACTCTCTACGGTTAGGATGAAGAGATCGCCATGCATCACACAGCCCATAATCACTCATGTACTGTTTAACTATATTAGTGGATTGCCAATTGTGCAGAGTCCCAGCTGTACTGAGCCTGTCTGTTAAAGAGTTCATCCAAAAATTAAAATCGCCTCCAAGTATAAGTGGACAGTCCAAGTGTTCGGAGAGTACAGAGAAAAAATTATGAAAGAATGAAGGGTCATCAATATTTGGACAGAATATGCTGACAATACATAAGCTTTGGTTCTGTACAGATATTTTTAACATTATAAATCTACCCTCTGGATCAAAGACTGTGTCCAATACAGTGAAATTGATGTTTTTGTGTATTAAAATAGCTACACCCTTTGCCTAGAGTTATAGCAGGCAGAGAAAATGCTGGGAAACTCTGGTATTTTAAGTTAATCTGTGGATTTGGCAGATCTATGAGTCTCTTGTAATAATATTACGTCTGCTTGCACTCTCTTTAGCTCATCAGAAATCTTTAATCTTTTCTCTCTGGAGCCAGCTCCATGTACCTTCCATGAGACAAACTTTAGTGCACCCATAGATGTGTGTGTGTGTGAGTAGCTAAAATATGACGCCTTCATGTGAATAAGATGGAATAAGTATATAAATGTATAAAATAGTTTGTTAATAAATAACAGGACAGGGGAGCTCAGTCCTGGGTCGGAGCCGGCCCGCAACAGCGCCACAAGCTGCAGCAGGCGATGTCGGGGCAGAGGAGCTGAAACCTGGGCTGGATCCAGTGCGCAACAGAGCACAACAGGCTCCGGCAGGTGATGGCTGTGCGTTTTTTATTTCCTGCAGGGCAGGTGAGCTGAAACCTGGGTCAGATCCAGCCCGCAGCCGCGCGCCACAGTCTCCAGCAGGTGATGGCTGTGTGTTTTTAGTTCCCTGCGGGTCAGGGGAGCTCACTCCTGGGCCGGATCAGCTGCGTAACGGTGCACCACAGGCTCCAGCAGGTGATGGCTGTGTGTTTTTATTCTCAGCAGGGCAGGGGAGCTCATTCCTGGTCCGGAACCAGCCCACAGCAGCACGGCATAGCCTACATAATTTGGTATATAAGTCGCTCCGGAGTATAAGTCGCAGGACCGGCCAGACTACGTAAAAAAGTGCGACTTATAGTCTGGAAAATACGGTAGTTATTAGAATTTGAGATAAATTAGCAGGCTAAATACATTTCATATATTTCTAAAACTTAATACTTGTTTGTTTCTTGTACAGCCAAGTAGCCTTTATTCTGGACTCAGTACAATTCACCAAAAGTAAAGAGACATTATAAAGATGAAGTAAACACAAGATAACTTACTGGAAGAAACAGACTTATCATGAGAACCAGAACAAGAGAGCCTGATAACAGTCATGTGAACATAATAATTAAAAAGTATGTATGTGTAATAGAAATAAAAATATATTAGAATTAGTGTAACTCACGGTGATCCAAAAAATAAATCAGCCATAGCTGATTAGCAATCATGAAATGAGGTCTGGGAGTTTTTAAGTATCATTTTTTATTACATTTTTTTCTGAGATCTGTTAAAAGGTCACCATGGCAGCCTCTGTGTCTTCAACATCACACGCACACACGCACACACGCACACACGCACACACACACACACACACACACACACACACACACACACACACACACACACACACACACACACACACACACACACACACACACACACACACACTAAATTGCAGAAGCCCAAGTATTCCTGTCTTAAAATTAGCTATGAAAATATGAAAAAAGGCTGTTTGAATTTAAACTCTGACCTGTTTTCTACTAGGAATTTAAGCACCTATTTATGTGTCTTTTTGTAACATACTGTGAAAATGAGAAAATATGTCACAAACTTACGCGACGCTACCCTCATCCGTGGCACATGCACCCACAACCTTGGTTACATTCACCAGCAGAACCTGGTTAAATGACAGAATGAATACAGCATTTAATATGTGTCATGAAGATGAAACAACATTAAATGTAGTAGGGCTGAATTTTAAATACCTGGTTTGGATCATTGAGCAGATTGATCAGCAGCTTCATGCCCTGACCTTTGACAATGGCAGCCCTGTTGACTGGCATCTGAACAAACTCTCCTAGGGCTCCTGCAACATTAACTAGGACATCATCAGGCTGATAAGCTGCTAGCAGAGCAACCAGAACCTCCTGAGTATTATACTCCTGAAAGCTGTTGAGAAGGAAAAGGAGAATGATTGTGCATTATAAACTAAATCTGGAACTCTGTCCCTTTGAGCCTGAGATCAGTGTAGTGTACCAAATAGCCATCTACTTCATCAATGTGACCAAAACTTTACTTCTTTATACAAGTCAATCTGACACTGTGGTGCCGATATGAAGTCTATGAACTGTCCTCTTTGAATTAAGTTTTACTTTAATGGCTCATAAAGGACTTTATAACTTTATATTTTTATATAATCATATTTTGTTGAATGGAAAACATGTTTAAATCCAAAGTGTTTTAATAATGTTTCCAGTAATCTACATTAATGAATGGTGGGTTATTCCTGTAATATTTGTTTCAGATCTTAAACTACACCAGATCTGTATTTATTGAATTTAGTAATAGTAATCTATCAGTATGAACACATTAATATTACTGCATTATTGTGAACTCCATCTGGGTCTGCTTTTGTTCTGTGTTGTCCTGTTTCACTCCGCTTGAGTGCTTGTTGAAACATTATATTTTAACAACAGAAAATATCCACTATTTGTATAATTCTTGCATCTTGGCTTCTCTGCCTCCTGGTTTACCTGCGCCCCGTGTCCCCGCAATACAGCCTTCAGCACCAGAGACAGCTCTAGGGTGACCCTCGCTTCAGGACCTTGGAGAGAGGCACGCCAGCCGCAGCAGCAGCTGAACCCAACCTGCCTCTCCTAAGGACATTTGAACCGGACACCTGCCTTCATTCGGGGATGTCCAGTACTAGTCTGTGATTCTCCTGTGCCTGTGTGTGTGGCTCTAGCTAGGGCTAAACTTTGTTTATGTTTATGATATATTTTATAATGTTTATTTATGTTTATGAAAAGACATTGTTGTTGTTGAGCTGAATATCTAGTCCTTTGTTTTAATGACTTGTGTTTCTTCAGAAAACATTTAGTAAAGAGATTTTTGTTTGGTTATGGTGATAACCTGTGAGCTAAGTAAGCTGTAGGCCTTTGTAGCATCGTTTTGTTTACAAGCTGTAGTTAATCAGTTTGCTTTGGCTTCTTGCTTCTTCTCTCTGTTAAGGCAGGGAGTCACTTTCAGTTTCTCCCCCTTTTGTCGTTATGTTTATTTTGTAAGAAACAACTTTGTTTAATAAACCGTTAACTTTGACCACTCAATACTTCCTTATTACATCGCAGTACAGACCTCCTTGTATTTTTTCACTGTGTTTGTCTTCTCACCCTCCTAGACGGTCAGAGGGGACATAACAGTTTTCGACCGGAAAATGGCAGCTTGCCAACTCAAGCCATGCATTTGCATAAATCTGGTGTTAAAAGGTTTAGTGTTATAAATGAATCATTTACATTGCAACGTTCTCTGTGCTGGCTGAACACTTCCAGATAGCTCCGGTGACAGCGGCCAGAAGCTTCTTGTTGCCTCTTTTACTGAGCAGAGAAATTAGTGGCTGCAGGCCTTTCAGTTTGCGCACCAGGTCACAAGTTTGTTTGTCCGCTGCACACTGCAAAGTGAATGAGAAAAAAAAGTATTAATTTATTACATCAAGACCGGATTACTGTAATTCATTACTCTCAGGAAGTCCACAGAATGTAGTTAAAAGTCTTCAGCTTGTCCAAAATGCTGCAGCTAGAGTTCTGATGAGAATTAAAAAGAGAGATCATATCTCTCCTGTCTTAGCTTCCCTACATTGGCTACCTGTTAAATTCAGAATAGATTAAGATCCTTCTTCTCACATATAAAGCTCTGAATAATCAAGCTCCATCATACATCAGTGATCTGATTGTTCCATTCGTTCCTAACCGAGCACTTCGCTCTCAGACTGCAGGTTTACTGGTGGTTCCCAGAATATCTAAAATTAGGATGGGAGGCAGATCTTTTAGTTATCAGGCTCCTCTCTTGTGGAACCAGCTCCCAGCTTTAGTCTGTGAGGCAGACACTTTGTCTACTTTTAAGAATAGGCTTAAAACATTTTTTTTTGATAGGGCCTATGGTTAAAATCTGATGTTAGCCTAGATCTGGACAAGTGGGGGAGTAGAGGGAGGTGGAGTGTAAAGTTGGTAAAGACGGCTCTCCCTTGCCCTGCCTCCAACATGCCTACATCTAAAAGGCTAGGTTATCCAGAGTTATCTCTGTAGTTATGCTGCTATAGGCTTAGACTGCTGGAGAACATACTGACCACTTTCCACACTCGACTACTTTCTTCTACAATCTGCTCTTTAACTGTATTATTTCCTGCTATTTCAGCTGTTAACTTTATTTTTTTCTCCAAATGCTTTTCTTCCCAGAAGAAGCTACAATGATGTTCTGTTGAGCTGTGGTGGCCTCATGGAGGGGGCCATTTTCGTGGGTGTTTGTTTGTGAGTTTCAGCTTGCGCGCTGTTTGAACCTCTTAGCACCGCGGAAATGGGTCCAAAGAAAGGACTGACAGTAGAAGATGGCGATGATATAAAAAAATCACTGGAATTTATGTGGGAGGAGATCTCTGTTGTGCAAATACAGCAGAAAGCGATCTTGGGCCTGGTGGAGGAAGTGAAGGTTCTCCGGATTCAGAACGCGGAGAAGGACAAACGGTTGGCGTATCTGGAAAACCGAGTGGAGCATCTTGAACAATATACTAGAATGAATGATGTAATTATCAGAGGGCTTTGCATGAAACCCCATTCATATTCCCGGGCTGTGACTGCTGGCTATGAGAGCTCTGAGGGAGGATTTGGGGGCAAAAAACTGGAACAGCGTGTGTAGAGAAACTGAAGTTGACAAGGCATATGATACATTTTTAACAATATTTAATACAATATTTAATCAGAACCGTCCAGTTATTCCGTTGAATGTAAAGCAAAAACAAATAGATCAACCTTGGATTAGTAAAGGACTACAGAACGCTTGTAAAAAGAAAAATAAATTGTATAAAGATTTCTTAAAGCAAAGAACAGAAGAGAAAGAATCTAAATATAAAAAATATAAAAATAAGTTAACAAATATCATTAGAAAAAGTAGGAAAGATAATTATATATAAAAATAATATAAAAAGAATATGGGACACACTAAACAATATTATTAAAAAAATCAGTCAAGACAGCACAATTACCAGTGGCGGCTGGCCAGTAGAGGGCGATAGGGCGCCGCCCTCCCAGTTTCCCCTGTGTTTTTAATTTTTATTTAAAAAAATAAATGAATAAAATTAACAATAATCACATATTCTAAGTTAATTGTGTGTTTTGTAACAAAAATAAATCATATATATATATATCTATATTGGTCTCTGCCGGTCTCTGCCGATCTCTGCCGGTCTCTGCCGAGAGGTGGAGGCTGTGTGCTGTTTTTCAATCGCCCAAACAAGACGGGACCAGTTGTCCAATTGCTGACAAGAAAATCAAAGGGTAGGAATGGGAATGTATCCAATCAGCGTCGACGTTGTTTCAGAACGTTTCAGAAGCATGATGGGCGATAGAGCTACCGCCAAGGCTTTCGTTGGTGTTCGGTAGAACTCGGAGAATCTCGACTCCAGCACGTTTTTGGTTGTGACTCGTGACGGTCATGATGCAGACGTAGACATGGACGCCAGTGCGCCTACAACATGGATACCGGATCTCAGCAGCCACTGAATTCAGTTCGGTCTCTTCTCCAGTATCCGTTCGAGAGGAGAACTATGGTGGAAAAACTTAATGTCAAAGAGCTTGGACCAGATCAGCCCGACGTAAAGATAAGCCAGCAGGACTAGGAGAAAGGTAAACTGTACACACGACGCTTCTCCCAAAATTGGTACACCAGGAAGCAGTGGCTAGCTGGATGCAATCACGCTAATGCGTTATTTTGCTTTCTGTGTTTGTTATTAAAAACGGCTGGGATCCACAGAAGGTGGATGTGGAACTTGTGTCTCATTGGGGACTCCATTCATTCTCTGACTGAGGAATGCAGCGCATCAGTGCAGCAGCCAACAAAGAAACGGAGGACGTCTGGACAGGGAGAACAACAGCAGCTGGGTGCAGAGGTAAGCTGTACATTACATTTCTGTAAACAAGACAATCAGAATCAGAAATCCTTGGTTGTCCCACAAACTGGGACATTTGTTTAATAACATGTACATTGTTTAATGTGCAATAACTGTAAAAACTAATTTCAACACACATACCTATTATACATATTTAATCACGTAAATGTGTATTTCAAGTAAATTTGTAAATACATCAATCTGATTCCATTTTACTTGTTACACTTCTGCTGCAGCAAACAAATTTCCCAGCTTTTGGGACAATAAAACATTTCTGATTCTCAATGAGATGTTTTTACATTTGAAGTAAAACCAGAAATGTTTTATTGTCCCAAAAAGTGGGAAATATGACATTTGTAAGATGATACTGATGACATTGTTTCCTATGAAAGTGTTTCCACTTTCCATAAGTCCTAACAGTGTAAATTTCTGGCATTTTGTCTAAGTAGTGTTTACTACCATTACTGTAACAGTGACCTGCTCATAATTTTTCGTGTTCACTAAAATGTTGAAATTAAACAAAATGTTTTTGTTACTTGCCTCTTGCATTGCCTATTTACCATTTATGGTCATGTTATTTTATGTGCAATTTAATGCAGTATTTTTCAACCTTGGTCCGCAAGGCAGCGTGCCAATAGTCAGACACACCTGGATTAATCAGTTTGTCCAATGATGTAGGACAGGAAATAAAAGAGCTGTGCTTAATTCAGGAAATAGTGAAGTTGTGCACAAAGCTCAGAAAGCACAAGTTTGTTTAAAAAAAAAAAGCACAGCCCCACCAAAAATATTTTTCACCAGCCGCCACTGACAATTACAATATGTTTTTGATAATAATAGTGAGATAGAAAATATGGGGGATATAGCCAATGGATTTAATAACTTTGTTGTTAATATTGGGTCGAAAACAAATACCGGATGCTTTGTCAATGGACAACAGTAGTAATAATTTGATTGAGCAAAATCCCTGTTCTATGTTCCTCACAGCAGTTGAATAAATAAATAAATGCCAAAGTAAAACATCAACTGATTATAATGATATCGATAGCAAAACAATGAAAAATGTTATTGGGGTATTGCAAAACCACTCACTTATATTTGTAATTTATTATTTCTAACTGGAAAATTTCCAAACCAGATGAAAATAGCTAAAGTGGTGCCACTGTTCAAGACTGGAGATAAACATAGCTTCACTAATTACAGGCCTGTTTCATTACTATCACAATTCTAAAAAAATACTAGAAAATTTGTTTAGTAAAAGATTGGATTTAGTTTTGGATAAATGTATGATATTATCAGAAAGTCAGTACGGCTTTAGATCTAATAGATCAACTTCATTAGCATTAATGGACACTGTTGAGGAAATCACAAATGCAATAGATCGTAAACATTTTGCTGTCTGAATTTTTTTGGATCTTCAGAAGGCCTTTGACACAACTGATCATAGCATTTTAATTAACGGTACGGGATTAGGAGGATTGTTTTGAAGTGGTTAACAAGTTATTTGAGCCACAGGAAGCAATTAGTGAAAGTTGGACAGTTTTCGTCAACATACTTGGACATTGCTTGTGGTGTACCACAGGGTTCAGTATTGGGTCCAAAGTTATTTATTTTATATATTAATGATGTAATTTGTAAGGTTTCAGAAATATTAAAGTTTGTAATGTTTGCTGATGACGCAACTATTTTTTGTTCAGGGGAAAAATTAAATGAGCTAATGGAAATACTTTCTGCAGAAATGTTTAAGGTAAAAAATGGTTTGATAAAAATAAATTATCATTGAATTTAAGTAAAACAAAATACATGTTATTTGGGAATAACAAAGTAAACACCCAAATTGTGATACATATTGATGGTGTAACTATTGAAAGGGTGAATCATTATAAATTTCTGGGTGTTATAATGAATGATAAAATTAGTTGGAGACAACATATAAAACATATTCACAACAAAACTGTAAGAAGTATTTCCATATTAAATAAAGTGAATCATTTCCTGGATCGCAATATACTTCACATTTTATACTGTGCGCTGGTGCAACCATATTTAAATTATTGTGCAGAGGTCTGGGGCAACACTTATAAAACTACATTATCACCAATAATAATATTACAGAAGAAAGCCATCAGGATTATTAATAAAGCGGGCTATAGAGATCATACTAACAACCTGTTTTTGAAATCACGAGTATTAAAGTTTACTGACCTTGTTCAATTCTTGACATTACAAATAATATATAAAGCTAATGACAAACTACTCCCTGGTAATATACAAAAGTGTCATGGTCTACGTCTGCGTCCCCCCTCATGTGTCTCCTTGTGTTCTCCATTCGTCTCTAGGTTCTCCTGTTGTGTATCCTAGCGCCCTCTTGTGTCATTGTCTACGTCTTCCTCAAGTGTTCCCAGAGCTGCAGCCCCTCTAGGTTTCCTTCCCCCCCAGGTATTTCCCTCCAGGTCCTGTGCTCCCCATGGTCCTCCTTAGTCACACCCCTGTAGTTTCTCTTTCTGTGTTCCCAGATCTACAGCCCTCCAGATCATCTCTCCCAGGTCCTGTGTTCGTTCCTTCAGTCTTCCCCAGTCACCCCTCTGCAGTTTTTATAGTTTCAGCTTTTCATTTTATTAGTCTCTTTAGTTGTGTTTTTCCCACCAGTGTTTGTAGTTTTCCTTCCCCTTAGAATATTAGTTATGTTGCTGCTTTTCTTGTCTTTAGGTTTTACTCTTAGGTCATGTTAGTTTCCTCCCTGATTAGTTAATTGCTTTCACCTGGTTTCTCTCCCCACACACCTGCAGCCCATCTGCCTCCCATCATGCCCCAGTGTATTTAACCCTGTCTGCATCTCTGTCTGTTGTCGGTCCATTGTTTGGTGTCAGTGTTGCTTTTGTGCCTTGTCTCTAGGTTTTGTGCTCTATGTGAGCTTTTGTTCTCCTGGTATTCAGGACTTTGGTTTCTTGGCCTCCTGCCCTTTTTGGATTTTCTGTTCCTCATCCTAATAAAAGGATTTTACTTTTAAACCGCTCCTGCCTCGTGTCATCTGGTGTTATCTGCATCTTGGGTCCTAACCTCCTCCTAACTTGCAACGTGACACAAAAGTATTTCTCATATAGAGATAAACAATATAATTTGAGAGAGGAATGGAATTCAAAATACCTGTCTGTGTGGACAACAGTTAAAAGTCAGTGCGTCTCTGTTTGTGGGGTAAAATTATGGAATGGATTAAATAGTGATTTAAAGCAATTTCCAAGTATGACCCAATTTAGAAAGTGGTACAAAAATATGGTCTTCATGAGGTACAGGGAGGAAGAGGGATTTTGACTCAAAAAATCCAATGAGTGGTGTGAGGGTGTAAGTGTACAAAATAAAACGGGGTGTGTTGTATGTGTAGTAGGGAATATTAATCGCTGTGTGTGGTGGATAAATGGAAAAGGTATGTGGAACTATTTTGAATGTAATGGTGTAAATGGGCCATTTGACTATAGATGAATATAGAAAATTTATGATGAATTAAGAAAACGACATTGTTCCTTTTGATCTTGAACAAATGGGAAAAGGGGGGTAGGATTTAATAAGCACTAGCTTCCTCCTACTCCTTTTCGTACAGAATATGATAATTACATTTTTGTGTGATTATCAGTGTGATTTTATTTTTAATGTCTACAATGACTGTTATTATTATTATTATTGTTATAGTTTTTTTTAATTCTTATAATGTTTGAAATAAAGACTTCATTAATTAATTAATTAATTAATTCATTCATTCATTCATCATGTGTCCTGGCTACTTGGACAAGGGAGATCCCTGTTTGGGTGACTGGTCAGTGTGCATGCCTTTCACCCGGGAGTCTAAGGATTGAATCCCAATCGGACCATTTTTTTATATCCGCCACAGATCTCTCTAAGAATTCACAACGTTGATGGCTTCAGCAACGCTGTGCCACTCCGTGGATTTTCTCTTATTTGTTTTGCAAAAGCACTTCCTTTCATTTCTCCACCTCACCCTCAAGTACCTCAATTTCTGCTTCTGTGAAATTGCGCTTCCTTGATCTGCCTTGATCTACGGTCGCCATTGTCATTGGCAGAGCACTGCAACAGCCGGCTTATGTATATGCATGAGATCCACAAAGCCTCCTGAGGGCGGGATGTGACTAAAAAGCAGCTGAGAACCTTTCTAGATAGTTTCTGACTTATGAAGCGGAGATTGCGTGCAGCTGTGCGTACCCCATATTTGATCGATCACAAACCTGCTTGGCGTAAGAACATTTTTTTTGCTCAGCTTAAGTACAGTCTTAGTAAGGATTCTACGTAATGTTTGATAAATGAGACCCCTGACCTGTATTGGAATGTTTACTGTGTGAAGGTCCTTGAGACGACTCTTGTCGTGATTTGGCACTTTATAAATAAACTTGAATTGAATTGAAAGTTGGTTTAGCATTTTTTCTGCATCAAATTTACTTGCATGATCAGTGAAGAAAAAAAGAAGCGAAGTACCTTAAAGATTGAATTGGCACAATAGGTTTGCAGCTCATCGTTGTTTTTGTGCAAGTTTCTTACAAAGTCCTTGACCAGATCTTCTGTTTGAATCACAGCCTGGCAATTTTCCTGTGAGACCACAAGATCACAACAGACATCACAAGCTGCTATTTACATGATAAACAAAACAAAACAAAACAAAACAAAGAAGAGCTTATAACCCTTTTATTTGGGACACACTATGACCTGAAACAATGTGATATGGCCCAACTTTGATATGAACCTGAGCTACTGTTCATTTATTTTGACAGCAGCTTCACAAAAACAAACAGGTTTGATAGAAGAGAACATGATTTGAGACACATGGGTACTCTCACCTCTGAGGCACATTCCTGCAGGATTCCCATAACAGGAATCAGCATATTCCCATTTGGAGACCTGAGCAGGCGTCCAAGCAGAGGGATACCACCTGCTTTATAAATCTCCTTCTTGTTTTTGGAACTCTTGCTCAAGCTCCACAGAGCTAAAACTCCGTAGTAAGCCACTTCTCCATCCTTCTCCTGGTCTTCCTTCAGGCTAGCAGAGTTAGAGACACAACTCAGCATCTTCACCTGGTCAGAGGGAGAGAGACCCCAGAAGTATCAGTGAACCAACACGAAGAATAAAGCTGCTTTCTGTAGTGTACTGGTAAGATGAAGTCACAAAGGAAACTGTTCTCCCTTGCCCTGCCTCTCACATGCCCCCTTTTAAATTATGCTGCTATAGGCTTAGACTGCTGGAGGACAAACTGAGCACTTTCCACACGACTACTTTCTTCTACCACTTCTCTTTAACTGCATTATTTCCTGCTATTTCAGCTGTTAACTTTATTTTAAGTGTTTTTCTCCCCAGAAGAAGCTACAATGATGTTCTGCTGAGCTGTGGTAGCCTCATGGAGGGGGCCATCGGCTTGAACACTGTTGCTAACCACTTAAACATTCTCCCTCTCCCGATAATAACACTTTACTCTCTTTGACATTGAATGTGTTGATCTGTTTATTTTAATTTTTGTTCGTGTCTGCTTTGTCTTCTCAAAGCCCCAGTGAGCTTTTACAGATGGCTGCTCATTCGGATCCAGGTTCTGTTGGAGGTTTCTTCCCGGTAAAGGGAGTTTTCCTCTCCACTGTCACTACATGCTTGCTTGCTGTAAAGTTTCTGACACAAGTCAGTGACTCGATGTAATCTGCTGGGTTCCCTTACACAGGGCACCTTTATCTGATTGGTATAATGAACTGAACTCAGTGAACTGATGACTGAGTTTAGTTGCAATGTTAATCGTGAAGTGCCTTGAGACAACTCTTGGCATTCTATAAACAAACTGAGTTGAACAGTGAGGTGTTGGCCGGAGTTGCCTGGGTGTTATGGCCACTCAAAGGAAGGAGTGTGAGGGAGGCTGCTGTGCTTGAGTAGAAACAACCACTGAAGGGATTTTTGTCAGCCTCAGACCAGTTCCCACTCACAGAGGTGGAAAGAGTACTAACTAACTTATTTATTTGAGCTTTATAAATTTCAATAGCACAGGCAAACTATCGGATCATGACTCGAAATCGGACCGATTTGAAGTTAAAAGATCAGATCGGGAGCCTAAAATGCTGATCAGGAAATCCCTACCTAAAATGTAACGGTATCGGCTTTTACTTAACCCAACTTGAACATTCCATGCACATATTATTCATCCAATTCTCCGGCTTTATCTACTCTAGCTCAAAAGATATTATATTTGACATATTTTCGTTTTATTTGGCCCAACTTGTGAATAATTAGGGATTTGCCCTGTGTAGTGAGAATCTGCTGTCCTTAGGGCTTGTAGCTGTGTGTAGCTAGCAGAGGTGTGAAGTCACTACTTTGCAAGTCACAAGTCTTTCCAGTCAAGTTTCAAGTCAAGTCCAAGTCAAAGACAACCAAGTCCAGGTCAAGTCCAAGACCTTAACTTTGAATTTTCAAGTCATAATCAAGTGATCTGTCCAACTTCAATTTAATGAGAATGATGATAAATAAATTCCAGAAATTAAGCTTTAAAGCTTCATTTATTTGATCGTCGATTCAAGTCGCAAGTCATTGGTGTTCAAGTCCGAGTCATGTCATAAGTCTTTATAGATTTTATCAAGTCAGAAGTTATTAAAATAATGACTCGAGTCTGACTCGAGTCCAAGTCATGTGACTCGAGTCCACACCTCTGGTAGCTAGCCAGCAAACAACCAACTAAAAGAAGCACAAGTATCTTCACCCAAGGCTTGTTTTTCGTAAATGAAGATCCTTATAAATGTTTCATCACCGTAACTACAATATACAGAAACAGAAAAAATACATTACTGACTAATGCACACATCTTAGCATTGCACTTAGCAATTAGCTTAGCGTAACATGAGTATGCTCACGCTGCTTACATTTGATCAACTAAGAAACTTTAACACATGCCCAAACGTTCCCTAAACAAATCGATACTTTCAAAGACACATGTTCTCAAGCTACAAGCATATAATGCACGTTATGATTGTTACGGTTTGTTGCGGAATGGGGTAGCTGTTCTAAGCTGACCTGAGGGCCGCCAACTGTAACAATGAACCATTTGTTTTCTCATTTGTGCGTAAACTACTTAAACTGAGATGATTGCAATTTTGCATAGATCATGATTAAAGCTAAGCATGCATGATAGGAGATTTGTGATGTTAGCAACCTAAATGATTTATTTCCTCTCTTTACTGGGGGGACCTCACATATAGTGGTACTTGTTTATATCGGTATCAGAAATGCATTGCTAGAAAAAGGTAAAAAGAAAAACACTACAACTTGAGGGTTCCCCATTATATCCAGGCTTACAAAGAACTTAATACAATTCAATTCAATTCAAAGATACTTAATTAATCCCAGAGGGAAATTAGAGTTTCAGTACACACAATTCAGAGATCAGACATACATAGGCAAAGACACGTGACAAGAACTGGTAACTGTGGTCATTCGCAACCCTGACTCGTGCTACCTTAATAGAGATCAGAGGGGTTACATGAGGATTGGTTCAGGTGGAGGAAGAAAAGGCACTTCAGAGTTACCCTCCACAGGGAGGGCAGCTTTGCTCTGCAAAAAACACCTCAGACAGAAATGCAACAGACTTCAGTCATCACACAACATAAGTGTCCACTTGGTGGGGTGGTGGGTTTGGGACTCTCCACACGTCAGTTCCTGCAGCCACGATAAGCAGCGCACGCCACCTCAGTCTGGACAGGGGAAGGAGGTCGTTGAGGTTTGGAGGGCACAGTGACTCCTGGAACGATTTGGCGGCCTTCACAGCCCGCAGTCCCGCCCAGGCTGGGATAGGAGACAGAGTTGCCATAGCAATGGCAACATTCCACATTTCTTCTGAGGGGGGAGTATTTGTTGCAGCCTTACAGGCTCAAGGGCACCAGATTCAGATTAGAAATTGTTTTGGGGCCAGACAGAGATAATTTCCTTTCTGTCTTAAAGTTCCGTTGGTCCTCAACCTCTCAAAATCCCAATAATGGCATAAATTAATCTATCCCAATCTGTGCTGATTTGTCCACTTTCTCCTTGATGGCATCCATCTTTTGTGCCAATGCATGAATCTCAGCCAAAGTTCCAAGCACACGATTCATCTCAGCAATTATGAGTCTGTGACGTCACAGCGTGGTGTAATCCATCCCTGAGCTCGGGGAGAGTGCCAATATTCCTCGACAGCTCGTTAATTTTCCGGTAAGCCAGGAAGCCTCCTAGACCAAAGATCAAGAAACCTGACACCAACACCACAAAAATCCAGACGTCTTCAGAATCCTCTACAGACAGCTGAGGTAGGCAAATCAGGTTCCACTGTTTCCAGGAGTCCATGATATGACCAGCTGGGTCTGTCCCAGAGGGGCATCCGGGAGCCCCTTCTCCCGTTCTCATTGTTGAAATTTTTTTTATCAATCACGTTAAGTGACCAACTAACAAGATCCATTTTAGTAATTTCAGTTTACAGTTTCCTGAAAAAATGCAGAAACAGCCATGCACCCAAAGACAGACAAAGAGCTTTGAGGGTAAGATAGGGAGGAGAGGAGGAAAAAAGCGTCTGCACTCTCCAAGAGCCGGAAGAAGAAAAAAGCTGCTGCTAAGTGAAGAGCACATCTTTAATTTACGTGAAGACGTTAAGGAATAGTGCGTTAAAAATGTTGCTGGTGTCCTTTAGCAGGTTGCTATTGTGTTTTGTAGATTTGGAGAAAGTGTTCAACCCCGTCCCTCGGGGGGCCCTATGGGGGGTACTTCGAGAGTATGGGGTACCAGGCCCTCTGATATTGGGTGTTAGGTCCCTATATGACCAGTGTTGGAGCTTGGTCCGCATTGTCAGCAGCAGACGTGGGAAGTAATGAATTACATTTACTCACATTTCTGTAATTGAATAGCGTTTTTATGTATTTGTTCTTTTTAAGTCATTTTTAAAATCTGTACTTTTACTTTTACTTGAGTATGTCTTTGAAAATGTAGCAAAGTACAATTCTTTTAATTCATATCCATTACTAAATTAAAAACAACTATATGCTTAATAAGGCTTAATATTGCGCGTTGCAGCGTCGGATCAGAAAGAGAGACATCTGCATCAGGATTCTACTCGGTTCGGTAGCCGGACTCGGTTCAGTGTTTGAATTGTGTCTCCCCAACCGCTCCACACGGCAGCGGCAAAACAATGTTTAGAGCTCATGACAAGCAGATTTCCAGCGCTTTGCTCATTAAACAGATGACCTGCAGGCCTCTGTGAGTTAAAACATCTTTATACTGGAGCTAATTCAGTTGCAAACATGGGGTGTTCCTCAATGCCAAGGAACCTTGCCTTGATGTCTTGGTCCTGCCCCGGTTGCCTAGGTCATCAGCAACCACCCAGAGCTATATATATATAGAGAGAGAGTTACGACACTCCAGTAGACTTCCATGGAAAGAATGGAATGCGGAAGTCACGTGGTTCATGTAGCTTCGAATATTTCCAAACAGCTCCCGCTGCTTCATTGACCGCAGTTCATTTTCTGTGTTTCGGAAGAATTTTCTCCAGTAAGTTGATGAAAAGTCATCATTTTTTTGCATTGTAAAGTGTTAGCTAATCACTTCGTACCAAAATAAGGCAACAATGATATTTTATGTTGCCAGTTTTAGCTAGATAACCTTTAATGAGCGAATTAAGTGCAGCTTGTTGATTGTGAGCAGGAGGGTTTAGACAAGCTTGACGAGCTGTAGACGGGTGTCACGTTAGGAGCCAGGATGAGGTTAGGACCCAAGATGCAAAAACCCAGAGTGACACAAAGGCAGGAGCGAAGTAAAACAGAAAATCCTTTATTTAGGAATAACTGTCCAAAAACAAAAAATCCAAGGGGCAGAAAGCCCAGATCCAAATGTCCAAAAATCCAAAAGAGCAATATCCAAGAGACCTAGAGAAAAAACCAAATACCTAGAGACCAAGAGGGGGGAATGAGACAACGCTGACACAAACACCAATGAACCGACAACACATTGAGACGCAGACAGGGTTGTATACACAAGGGCTGGGTGATTAGGGAATTGTGCGCAGGTGAGACCAATAAACAGAGAGGAGGTGCACAACGGAGCAGGGGAGGAAACCAGAACTAAAAATGGGGAAGGGAGCAAAATGAACTAAAGGGAGAATGTAAAGGAAACCTAGAGAGAACCTGGAGGGGGCTGGGGAACCACAGGAACACAGAAACCTAAGGGGAAAAAACCTGGAGTGGGCTGGGGAACACAAGGAGGCACATGAGGGGGGACACAGACAAGGAGACACATGAGGAAAACTAGGAGACACATAAGGGAGACACAGAACATGACAGTAACCCCCCCCCCCCCCCCCCCCCCAAGGGGCGGATACCAGACACACATAAGACAAGCACAGGATGAAGAACAGGTGACCACAGGGGCGACGAGAGACCTAGAGAGTCCGAGGCCGGGAGATATTGGGGTGTCGGCGATGGGGGACCAGGGACCAGGAGGCACTGGGGGGCTGGCAACGGGGGACCAGGGACATGGAGGCTCTGGGAGGCCGGCGACGGGGAACCAGGAGTGGGAAATGGAGGCTCTGGGGGACCGGTGGGACGCCAAAGACTCTGGAGGAGGACGATGAAGGGACTCTGGAGGAGGACGATGAAGGGACTCTGGAGGAGGAGGATGAAGGGACTCTGGAGGATGACGGGGGACGAAGACGCTGGAGGATGACTGAGGGACTCTGGAGAATGACTGAGGGACTCTGGAGGATGACTGAGGGACTCTGGAGGATGACTGAGGGACTCTGGAGGATGACTGAGGGACTCTGGAGGATGAGGATTAAGACGGGGACTCTGGAGACGGGGACTCTGGAGACACTGCAGGCGTGGACCCTGCAGACAAAGACGAGGACTCTTGAACCGGCTGAGCCGCTGCAGGTGGAGCCTCTTGGACAGGCGGAACCGCTGCAGATGGAGCCTCTTGGAAAGGCTGACCAGCTCTGATCTCCGGGAAGAGGAGGAGATCGAGCTGAGCTGGTGATGATGACAGGTGGAGCTCGGGCAGAGGCGTCAGAGCAGGAAACAACTGGACAGCCGGTGCTGCTCTGACCTCAGGAGACTTCTGTTGATGGTTGCGACGTCGTCGACGAGAGGAGGTTCGGCCCATCAGAGGTGCAGAGATGGCGCCGGTCGTAATGGAGGAAGATGAGGGACAGCCCACCAGAGATGAAGAGGTAGCGCTGTCAGGACCAGGTAGAGATGTGGTGGCTCGGCCCATCAAAGGTGCAGAGATGGCGCCAGTTGAAACAGAGGAAGATGCGTGACAGCCCACCAGAGATGAGGAGGTAGCGTTGTCGGAACGAGGTGGAGGTGTGGAGGTTCGGCCAATCAGAGGTGTGGAGATGTGTAGGGTAGGTGGTTGCGGATAGTAGCCGAAGGTATCGTGAGGCTCCTTGGCAAAGACCCAAAAAGATACCTTCTCTATGGGGTAACGGTCGAAGTAGCAGGCAGCCCATCGCAGAGCTTAACCCTCCAAACAGAGCACCATAAATGATAGCTTGTTGAATTCAGAGGAATTCAGGTCCAGGCAGCCAGCACAGTCCTGAATAAAAGTCCAACAGGTCTCTGGGTCACCATCGTACCTGTACATCTGCCATAGTGTTGGAGTTCCTGGAGATTCCGTTGGGTCCAGTGTAGGTTGGTTCTTTCTGTCACGTTGCGAGCCAGGAGGAGGTTAGGACCCAAGATGCAGAAACCCAGAGCGACACAAAGGCAGGATTGAAGTAGAATGTAAAATCCTTTATTTAGGAATAACTGTCCAAAAACCAAAAATCCAAGAAGGGACAGGAAGCCCAGATCCAAATGTCCAAAATTCCAAAAGAGCAATATCCAAGAGACCTAGCGAAAAAACCAAATACCTAGAGACCAAGAGAGGGGAACGAGACAACGCTGACACAAACAACAATGAACCGGCAAACAAATTGAGACGCAGACAGGGTTATCAACAAGGGCTGGGTGATTAAGGAATTGTGCACAGGTGAGACTAATAAACAGAGAGGAGGAGCCCAACGGAGCAGGGGAGGAAACTAGACCTAAAAATGGGGAAGGGAGCAAAATGAACTAAAGGGAGAACATAAGGGAAACCTAGAGAGAACCTGGATGGGGCTGGGGGACCATAAGGACACAGAAACCTAAGGGGAAAAAACCTGGAGTGGGCTGGGGAACACAAGGAGACACATGAGGGAGGACGCAGACAAGGAGACATATAAGGGGAACCTAGAGAGGGATGGAGAACACAAGGAGACACATGAGGGAGATGCAGAACATGACAACGGGTTTATTTCAGTTTGTTTGATTCTACGTTTTAAAAATATTCCCCAGAGTTTGAAATAGATTATAAACTTTTTCCATTATTAGTTTTATTTGGGATTTTTTTGTACAATACGTTGCTGGTTGCTGTATCAACATGAACATGCATCAGAAATGGAAGCACAAATGGAGAGACCAATAATAAGGAAAAATGTGATTGTGAAGACAAGTAATTATTTAATATTTTTCAGTTAATAACACTGACTTCAGCGAACTGCTGAAGCATGAGACAAACAGGATTACGAACATAAGAAGATATGTTGTTCTATTTTGTGGTCTCAAGTAATAAGATGGCATGTTCTGTGTCTCTTTGCTCCCCAGCCCCTCCTGTTTCACTTCAGGTTTTCCTCTTGTGTCCCATTATTATCCCCAGCTCTCTGTAGATGTCCCTCAGGTTTCCTTCTAATCATTCTCCATTCCTAGTCAAGCTTATTTTAGTCTTCCTCATCCATCAAGTTATTTATTTTTTGCCCTCAGTCTTCAGGTTTAGTTTTGTGTTTATAGGTTAATGTTTATCTGCCCTCTGGTCAAGCTCTTTCCCTTCCCATTTTTGTTAATTGATTCCACCAGTTTCTCCTCAGCTCACACTCCTCACACCTGTCACCTGTTTCCCTGATTACCTCCCTCCTGTGTATAAGCCTTGTCTTGTCCTTCAGTGTTTGTTGGTCCATTGTATGTGTCAGAGCTGTTCTGTATCCTCCCGTGTTTTTGCCTGAGTCCTCGCTCCTGTTTTTGAAACTTCAGTTTTTGTGTTTTTAACTGCTGGATTAGGCCTCACCTTAAAAGAACAAAGAATTTATTTCTTTACCTCCGCTCCTGTCTGCGTTATCTGGTGTTCTGCATCTTGGGTTCAAACCTCCTGCCCGTCAGTGTGACATAAGAATAGAATTACGATATTTCAAGAATAGTAGTTGAACACAATAACTTTTAAAAATGAGACATTTTCCATAAAACTGCTCATTTCCACTTGCTTTATAATATTAGCATTTGCAATTTTGTTATTAAGGAATGACAAGAAATAAGAATTAATAACACAACTATCAATAAATAAATGTCAAAGAGTTACTAAGACAAAAATCTGATGTAACCATTAAAGGTTAAACTGTGTTGTGTGTCCATCTTCATGTTTTCATAGTGGCTGAGCGGAGAGCTGACCAGAAACAACGGTGGTGGCAAAACCCAGTTGGGTCTGTGATGGAGTGATGCACGCCTGGAGTGATTGCCATCTCATCCACAGTAAGCTCACAATCTCTTCCCATCTCTGTTGTAGGAGCCAAAAAGCAGT